TGTCGGTACGCCCTAACTTCGTCGATTCTTCATCAAATCCAATGATTGACCACTGATTTTGAAGATATTCTTCTCCTTCACATGCGAAAAATACTCCTATCCCCCGAAATTTCTGGACAAAACAAAAAAAAATCGGATAATTATTTACAAAGATACAGTCCATTAGTTTTGCTTTACTTAATAATGTCTTCCTGTTTAAAGATATTGCATTTAGGAGTAGAATAGTCTACTACATTTTTTTTCCTTGATGACATATTAACTTCATTATTTCTTAAAGACATTTGGTTGTTCTTACATTTTATTATTTTTAATGATTTAGAAAATCTCATGATCGGGGCATTATTTTGTCTTTATTTCTTTTATTATCTTTCGAGTCAGCGTTAAAAAATAGTTCTTAACAAAACAATTTGTTCAAATATTTTTGTCTATTATGTTTAATGGAATATTCTAATCGACAAAGGAAAAATTATTAATTCCTTCCTTACATAATAAATAGGAAGTACTTATTTCCATATTGTTTTGCTATTTCTTCACTAAACAAAATTTTCTGCTAGTTTACTTTATTTATGAACACATATACATGTATTCAGTACTTATAATTTGTTCTAAAGTCAATAGAGGGACAACAGTATGTGTATCGTATGTGGTACTTAACTGTTGGCATTTGCAGGTCTAAAGACATGAATTAAATAAATTTAAAGTAATGTTACTGACGTACCAGGGAACCTTGGTGAAAGTCCTAAAAGTTCTTGATTGAAAAGTCTGTAGTTTACGTATGCGGCTTTTCGGCTGTCCCGTATATCTGTGAAGCGTAGGTCCGAATGGACTTATGCAGTATTCCATTTTGTTTATTTATTCAATTTTTTGAAAAGTTTTAATTTCGAGCGTCTTGAAAGGAATGAATATAGCAGTCGTAGTATTTGGTTTAGTGTTTTTTTTTTTTTTTTGTTCTTGATATGTGGGCCCCATGTCATTCTTCTATCGAATGTCAGTCCAATATATTGATATTGATAATTTTGACATTGTCGAGATAAATAGGAGGGCAAGTTTCAGGCCGAAGAGTAAATGTAATATGTTGTGATTTGTCTTGGTTGAGTCTAATTTTCCAGAGTTTACACCAGTCATGAAATTTAATTAGGTGATATTGTAGAGTCTGTGAGGCGTGTCCTGGATTTCGATTTGATGCCTTGTTAAGTAAGACTGTCGTATCGTCTGCGTAAGTCGCAGTCAAAATTTCGGAACTGTGTGAAATATCATGTACGATATATATGATATATAGCAGTGGAGCGAGTACTGAACCTTGAGGAAACAAATTCTATTCACTCCTGCTAAGACTGGTTTCATAGTAGAAAGTTCTGTGCCTTGTCAAATAACTAATAATTCATTGTACTTGTCTGAAAGAAGAAGTAAAATATAAAAATATTTCATAGATATGTTTATAACCTTAAATACATCTACTGTAGTTTAATAACTCTATATCTTATATTATATTTAAATAATTCGGTATTTATCGTACGTTCATTCCGAAAAATCATCATGTAACCTTTTAAAAAATTAAATTAGTGAATAATTTGATGAACTTTCCCTTTGTGATATCTTAACATTATCCACTTATAATTAATATGACCCCTTTTGACCTATCTATGGCAGAGAATGAAAATCCAATAATTTCATTTTAGTAAACTATACAATGGAAAATAACAGTTTGATTACTTATAATCCTACAATCCATACATGAGCCTTTCAGTTGACAGAATGAGTAACTCCAATTTCAAAATTCTTTATAATTAATTTTTTTGATATTTCCAGTGAGAAATTTACTCCTTTATTCACAGCTCTATATTTCAACACTGCAATCACCTACTCTGGAATCAAGATATAACCAACTAGAAATATTACTAAAATGATTTTACTGAAAAATGTTGAAACTGGAGTCGGTCATTCTGTCATCGGAGATGTACACATAACTCAGAGACCAAAGTGATGTGGTTTACGGAAACAGATGGAGTAACTAGATTTTTATTGTCTACCGTCGATATAATAAATAGAGTTTTTATTACTTTAATGGTCTTAATGGTTTGTTATCTGTAAGCCTTAAACTTTAGCTCCGTTTAAAATGCACTTCAAAAATTTTATAACAGCCCTACATTGCCAGAAAATAATCCCTAATCAAAGTAGAGATAGATTTGACCATTTTATGTTCCCGGGCTTCATATTTTTTTTTTCAGTTTGAAAAAAAATTAATGTTTTTTTTTTTTTGTATGATTTCTGAGGAATCGAATAGTTACATTGAAATAAATCCACCTCAACCATAAGAACAAATATCTCCATGTGAACTTAAAAAAAACGTAATGAGTTTTACTGTCCCTATTAATTTTTAACCATGGGGAAGCTTACTGTTATATGATGGTATTTGTAAGTATAGATACTTTCTTTAGTTACCTCAAATACTTTGATTGTAAAGTAGGAAAATTGGTTTGTTACCAATCGGTTGGAATGTTACCAACTTTTCTTATAATACTGTTCATTTAATACGACATATATTTAATATTGTGACGGATTGTAATATCTCTCAATGAATATGTTATAAAAAAAAATTAAAAAATACGCCTCACAAATTTAGGGTTGTGAAAAAAAGACACACTTACAAAAACTACAGACATTTCAATCCAAAATTGTACGACTTATAATAGGAGCTCCTTGGTACGTAAACAACAAAACTTTACATAACGACTTACGACAACCAATTATCGATCAACACATACGCTATCTCTACTCCAGATTTCATCTTAAACTACCCGGACATCACAACGGACTTATTAACGACATGGCCACAGCTGACATACCTATCAGGAGACGACTAAGAGGAGCTGGATGAGAGATCTCGTTTCTTGAATTAAGGAAATAAATCAAGAGCAGGAAGAAGTGCTGCTGGGTACTATTTTTTGCCTCATTCCTAAAATGTCGATTTTTTCGTATTAGTTACGACACATCTGCTTATTGTCAACCTCATGACAGGTGAGGATGAAAATATGAAGACAAAAAAAAATATGACGGAAAATGTTTTTAAACTTTTTTTCAGTGTTGTTCAGCTATCAGTTCATGTGTAATCTTAAGAGCTGACTGGAGACTATATATTTTTTCTTTCAAAGAATGCTGTGTCACAAAAAGTATGTGTAACGAAGTTACCATTATTTTACTTAATATTGTTCAACTAACATAATGATAATTAAATATGAAGGTTTAATCAGTAACAGCGATTTTGTAACATAACGTAACGAAAGTTATTATTATTCGTATGAATTTAATATTATTTGTTTTTATTGTTTTACTACTAATTGATCATATCATTATTTTTATTATAGACATTTAGAGAACAGTAAGGGGATTTAAGTTGTTTTTTCTGATAGGTATTGATGAACCAAACAAAAAATAATTTTTTTTTTTTTTTTCATGTTGACTTGAAATATTTAAGATTTATTTTTATCTATTATTATTCATATATTCATTGTCATTATATCTTTCCAATATACTAAGAAAGTTTATTTATTTAAGATTTGTTTTTTGTTCTCAACTTTCAATTGACAACCAATTACTGATCTACAAGACAATCCTGAAACCTCCTTGGACCTACGGACGTGAACTTTGGGGGACAGCTAAATTTTCTAACATCAAACACATCTAATCCTTTCAGTCCAAAGTCCTCCGAACAATAGTCGATGCTCCGTTCTATGTAACCAACAAAACCCTACACCATGACCTTAATATCCCATTTGTCCTTGACCTTATCACTGAAAAATTTTCCAAATTCCATCAGAACCTTATCAATCATCCAAATCCCCTAGCACAATCCTCTATCTAGTTCCACTCATCCCTACAACTCTCCTCGAAGGTTGAAGCGGCAGTGACCCAGAGGTCTTTTGTAGTATGCATCTTGGAGTTCTGGCAATGGCCAGATTCTCCACCCAAGACATGAAAGTGTGTGACTAAACCGCTCTCGCTCAATCTCTACTGGCTTTAGCACCAGTGACGCTTTTGAGAGAGTAGCTTAGAGATCTCTTGGAATCTTACTTTTCCCTCTATAGTTGGAGAGACAAGTCTGGCTTGGGGTTCCTTACCTAATTGTATATATTGTATATAGGTATGGCTGAGTTTTTATGTTTTCAATTTACTTATCTTTAGATTATTTTATTTTTTATTATTGTACATAGTTGTTTGGTTATTATTTAGTTACTACTTTACTTTTGTTAATTTTATGTTTTCTGTATATATGGTGTGAATGTGTTCATATCTTACTATAATTATTGACCACGTGAGAGATTATTATATTTCTAAATAAATAAAATAATAAAAATAAAAAGCTTTTTGAAGAGAAACATCCCCGTTTAATAAGCTTAAAGCTCATATAAATTGAGTTATGGTTTAAAAAAATAATTAAAACTTAAAAAAAAAAAAATAATATCGAAGCTCAAGTATGTTATCTAGGATATATATACTAATATTTGAGATGAAGTTTTCAATAAAATGTTGATATTTTTTTTAATCCGAATTGCAAGATTCGGCAATTCCAAATGGTCAAATAATATAAGAATGACCATCATAGATTTGATGAACCAAAAATCGTGTACTTTTTAATTTATTCGCGAATATAATTCTGAATACATCGTTACTTTTGTTTTCATTTTTTTTCGGGGAAGAATGTTGTTTAAATAAATTAAAATGGCTTCAAAAAGAAGACATTTTACCGTGTATATATTTTGATCCGGTCAGGGTTAAACGACCATATATAGATTTTCAAAATTATTTCCTGCAGAAAATGGAGTGTTATGTGAACGTTGCATGATTTTTAAAAATTTAAATTATAAACGTTATCTGAAGATATTTTTTAAAAACTACCACTTCGTTATAAAATATATTAAACTTGTAATTGATAATTTGGAGTATTGTGATAAGAAGGTGTATATATAAAGGATTAGAGGCGATGGGTTAACATTATCGAAATGAAGGCAGTTTTTGGTTTATTTTTATTGGTCGCAGCATCTTCGGCTTATGTCATAGGAGGCAAGTATATGCATTGATAATTCAATATCATTTTTTTTTTCGTAATCACGTACCGGCCACGAAAGACTATGCGAATATCATTGGTTAGGCTTCTTTGAGAGTTTGATTTTCTTCCTTCCCATCGCAGTTTCATGATTTTCGACTGCATTTTTTTTCTTTCTTCCGACCACTTTGTACTCCTCCTTTTTTCTCTAACAATATTGGTGAGATTTTTCAGTCTTTTCTTGTATGTGTCCTTATCTAGTCAGTCTGCATCTGAAAATTTTAAGGTTATTTAATTATTTTCTAATTTTCTTCGTGTATCCATGCTTTTGTTGCTAAACATTTTGTTAAAGATCTTTTTTTCCAATCTTTCCTCCTTCATCAGTTTCATGTGCCCATTAAACATCAGCCTTCTGATTCTTATCTCGGTTTCCTGGTCATTGATTTTCTGTAGATCTTCGCCTGTAACCTTCTTGTGTTTCCTGGGCTCATAGATTTTTTTTTAAGATCCTCCTTTCTATTCTTAACAGCTTTTACAAATTAGGTAGGGCTTTGGTCTCCATCCCATATAAAATCATAGGTTTTACCATAAAGTTGTAATGCCTTAACTTCGCAATGAATGAAAGGTTCCTTTTATTGTAAATTTTACCTGTTTGAAAGCTTAAATTTCGTAATTTTGTGATTTTATCTCGGGACCGTTGTAACATATTATTTTCCCCAAATAATTAAATTTTCTGATTACTTATATTTTTCCATATTTAGGGTTTACTGTTTTTTTTTTCTTGAAAATTATGGATCATTTTTATTTGTTTTATAATATTCATTATAATAAAGTTTTTAAAATATTTAAAATAATAAAGTTTTGCATATCTTAGATGTTTAACATAGATGTTCAACATATACTTACATCGAAATATTGGTGATACAGGCCTCTTTTTATCAAATTATTAACACCCACCTAAAATTATGTGAATAGCCTTCATTTCATTGGGACCTACAAATATTTTATTTACGAAAATTCTCGGAACTGGAGCGCTTTGAATGGTAAGATAATATAATCAAGAAATAAAAAAAAAAGGTGACTAGCAAAAATATTGGGCCTTTTGGTCTGTATAACTTCGTTATTTTGATTTTTGAGGGGTGAAGGTCAAGCCAAACGCCCAATATTTTTTTTCTATTTTGCCATCATATTATCTTACGATTCAAGTAGAAAGCTAATGGGCATTCATGAGATTTTAGTGCCTAATTCCACATTTCCATGTGACATTCCAAACATTTCCAAGAATTTTCGTAAATAAAATATTTGTTGGTCACTATGATATCAAGCAAGCTATTCACGTTTAAGGTGGGTGTTAATAATTTGGTAAAAATGGTTCTGTACTATGAACTATATTCTAATTTAAACAAACAGAAACAACGTCTAATAAACCGCTAAAGCTTATTTTACACTTAATTTCATTCCATATTTTCCACTGCTGGATCGAAAGAAGAGACTTTCGGGCTGAAGTTCTACCTCCAAAAAGAAATGGAAAACTTTATGGATATTTTTATAGATCCATATTTGTTTATGTAAATGATCTAAATAAAATACTTAAACTTCTAATTGAGTCGTATTTCGAAAGTGAATCCTAACCATTATTAACAAATTTTCTAGGAGCTCGAAAAAATATTTTTTATATTCCAATTGTAATATCAAAATCTATATTTTTACTTTCACTTACGTATATATGTAACATATAGTAAGGGTAAGTATTGCGATTGAGAAAATTTTTGAATCTTTGTTTTCAACGGAAATACACGTTTTGGGGTACCCTGAGTCCAAATAACCAAGTCTCGAAAAATGGTCTGTGTGTTTGTATGTTAACGGTCTAGCTCAAAAACGAAAAGTCCTACGAAACTGATATTAAGTATTTAAGATAGGTATATGCCTTAGATGTGACAGCAACTTTTTCCTTCAAATCGACTTTATCGGAAGTGTCACTTATTTAAAAAATAAATTAAGAATTTCTTTATTTGTAGAACTTATTTCTGAAAATCACAGATTATTCCAATAGTAATTTAAAACCATTGAAACTTGATTTGGGTCCCTTTTGAAAAGAAAATAACTTCAAGGCTCGTTTTCGAACAAAAATAAGGTTAATTGAGGTTTATTTTGGAGAGAATATCAATAAGGTTAATTGAGGTTTGTTTTGGAGAGAAAATAAATAAAAAAACAAATGGGGTTTGTTATCTCTTATTAATGGTTTATTGGGAGACTATTTTTCCTCGTTGTCTTCAGTTATTATATTATATAGTATATTTTTATACGTATATTAAGGGTATTTTTAAAATATTCAAATCTGAATTTTCAATAGAAAAACATGTTTCAAGTCCGAATAACTAAGTCTCATATTTATATACTAGCTGTATCCGTCCACGCATTGCTCAGTCTAGTTGAATAGAAAAAGTAATAAAAAAAAAATCAGATGTTTTTAATTTATTTTATTTCACAATACTTGTGAATATATATATATATATATATATATATATATATATATATATATGTGTGTGTGTGTGTTGTTCCATTCTTTATATAGATATAGAGGATGTCTGGTCAATTCTAGAATACGCAACATATAATTGTCTATGTGAGAAGCAATCTGTCTTTAAATCAACCTAAAAAAAAATACTATATATCGTGCGATCATTGTAATTTTTACTTTCACTTACCTATATATGAAATATATAGCCAGGGACAGACAGTATTTATTGCGATCGTGAAAATTTTCGAATCTAAGTTTTCAACAGAAATACTTGTTTTGAGGTCTCCTGAGTCCAAATAACCAAGTCCCGCAAAATGGTCTGTGTGTTTCTATTTTAGCAGTCTAGCTCAAAAACGTATGAAAATGAAATTGTATATTTAAGGTTTGTATATACCTGAAATGTTACACCAATTTTTTCGTCAAAATCGGCTAACCGGAAGTGGCACTTTATATAATCGATGAAACATATTTTTACTATTTTCTCAAAAACAGTTCCAACGATGTTGATTAAATTCATTATATCCGTGTGAAATTAAGCAGCTTTTGATATTTTGTAGGTTGTATTTGATTTATGTTCTATAACAGAGCTTAAATGGATAATTTTCAATATTAGCTTCCTCTAAAGTACCTTTACTTTTTTTTTTATTTGAAACAAATAATGATTTCACATTTATTTAAAATGTAAAAAATAGTTAAATATAAAATATGAAAGAATTTGATAATCAACTAAAGGAGAAATATGAGATCGTAACAGAGAATAGTTGTAATGAAGGAACCAAAGGGATACGAGCGCGACCGAGATCACCCGAGCTCGCCCGAAGATTAGAACAGGTTTCCATAGTAACATAAGCTTAATATAATACGGACTCCGACAATATTATGTAGATATACAAATGCGGTTTTTATAAATGCTATTGTTTGTATTATTTAATATTTAATTGTATAAATCGATTGTAGCGATATAGAATATTAAAATTTGTATATATGAGGGTACTTTAACAAATAAAAATATCCACAATGAAATATAAATCAATATAGCGTTTATAATTTTTACTTTTATTTCCCCTTTGTCTGAATATACTTATTTCTGATAAGAGTGTGGTAAGTAAAAGTTGTGTGATGCGCACACCGCACCAGATTTGATTTTTTTTTTCAATTTGCGGGGAATAAAGAAGCTTCCAAACAATCATAGGTATAATAAACAAAAATAAAGTACTTTTTGAGTCATTCACAAATATAGATTTCGATCCATCGTAACTTTTTTATCATACTCTTTTCGGGAAAGGATGTTATATACATAAATTAAAAGGGATTGAAGGAGAAGACTTTATCCAAGTTCAAAGTAAAATTGTTACAGCCGTTTACAGTCTAAAACGACTCACGTTTTTCGGCCACCTTTCCGAAACAAAAGGCCGGAGGGTGATTAAATGTATATAAAGACATTACTGAATTCGAAAGAAACGTTATATCATTATTTCAAAGTAATCGGTGAAGATGTTTCGGAGATTACCGGTTTTGAACTAACGAAAATTTACGTTTTTATTTCTATAGATACGACAAATGAAATTATCTGTTTAAGTTAGATACATAGCTCTGATGTTAAAGCATTTTTTTCACTTTATCGGAAGTGCAATTGTATACATTTTTACGATTTTTTTTTCAAAAAGTAAAGATAAAAGATACAAAACTATTAGGTTCTTTATTGAAGTTTGGTCTTATCCTTGTTGAAATAATCTAGTGGTGCTTAAATAACTAATTTTCATAATTTATTATTTTCAATAATGAAACATTGTGATCGACCAAAAAATTCAAAAACATAACACCAGGTTTCACGTTTCAAGACACGTAGAATTCGAAAAACGAATAAAATTTTTTTTGTCCGTCCGCCGTCCGCGCATTTTCTCCGAAACTACTGGACCGATTTTTTTTTCAAATTTTGATATAAAATCAGAGGTCACCCGAGGATGATCCTCCTTCATCGACATTGCTCTCCGCCTTTAACTTTCAAAATGGCGGCCGAAAAACCTGCGTTGCTATAGACTGTAGCTCCTAAACGAATGTACAGATTTCAATGAAACTTGACTAAAGTCATTTTCTCGACGCCCTTTTAATTTATCTATATAACATACTTCAACGAAAAGAAGCTGGAAAAAAAGTTACGAGGGATGGTAAAATTAAATTCCGAATAACTCGAAAAGTTTTTAATTTTTTGTTGATATTCTGATGAGATGTTTCAAAGGTATTTAAATTTCCTAAAAAATGAAGGAAGTTTCATCGAAATCAAAGCACTATTAGTAGAGATATCGCGGTTTTTACATATTTTGGTTGATATTTTATATAATTGTTTAAAAATTTACGAAATTTCCTAAAAAAAAAAGAATCGTTAAAATCGGACAATTAGGAGCAAAGAATTGATCTCCGGTTTTTTTTTATGTGTTATACTCCAAATATTATATCCTTGGTTTGGTTTTTAAATTTTAAATGTGTTACTGAACTAATGATATTTTTTTAGCATATTACTAATGATTAAAGAAAAACAGTTCAGTCCAATAATTGGAATCATCTTTTATTTTTTTTTCTTTGTAACTCGGAAGGTGATGTTATTTTAGATGTATAATTGTTTGGAGATAATAAACCATTGTGAAATTATTTGCACCGTTTTTTTTCTTCTAAAGTACCTTATACTTTTTCTTATAGAAAGAAGTTACACATCAGTGACATTACAGAAACTTTTACACGAAAATCGATTTATTAGAAACTCCACTTTATACTATCGATAACGCCTCTAATGATTTTAATAAAACTCATCAAATCGATGTAAAACTGATAGTCTTTGATGTCAGTCAGGTCTTATCCTCATTGAATAAAATAATGTCATATCAAACATGGAGCACCCAGCAGCATCTCTTCTCTGATTTGTTTCAAGTACTTCAGTTGTTTAAAGAAGGAGATCTCTCATCCAGCAACTTTTACTTTATTATTTTTTTCTATTATTAATAAAACTAAAATATGTTCCAGATGTTCCTCTCCTTGGCAACAGCCTGGATGATCTCGTGGTGGAAGCGCTCGAGTACGTGAGGTCTTTATTGAAGAAACATGACCCTTTTGTTCTTCCTCCGATGCCAGACCAACGTCTCGTTGACACCGATATTGAGTAAGTTTTAATTTGCAGGAAAAAAATTGTTTATCATTTCGAGAAAAAAATAATTTTTAGATAATGTGGAGACAATGAATTTAATTTTATAATAATAACAAGAGATGGGATTTCGAAGGCGATGGGATATCGAGTTTAATTATTGCCATCGATATTAATATGATATTAATCCAGTTACACCACAATCAGTTTTACTTGGATAACCAAGTTATAAATTGGATCAGGTTTTCCTTTAGATATATCTAGAGCTCTAAGCCTATTTTTAATATTAGGAAATTACTTCAGGAAACAAATATTTGTTAACTATTTGGCAGTTTTCAACTCTACAGCACTCATTAACTTTAATTTCCCCACAATGGATACCACTATGTGATTTCAGGAATTCTTTTCAGGAAACAAATGAAGCAATGTTGATAAACTTTATACCACAAATACACAAAAAACACTTTATTCCTCTACATAATCATCACACTACTACTGTCTGGGGTAATCTAACCCAAGCCAACCTGCCTTTGTTTACAACAGCTACAGTGCTGCCTGATAATATGCATTAACTCTATAATATTAAAGCATTGTCTAGGCAGTCTATCATCACTCGTTAACCACAGCTTGGTCCAATTATTAACTATTTTTTTAACACATCAATGCTTTATGAAGATCTCCCAGTTTCAACTCGAGCCACATAGTTTGGTGTATTTCTTGGCCAATGGAGCAATGACTTAAAAAATCGAACCTGTGTTCTCTCCAAAACCTCTAGGTATCTTGGTCCCCAGATCTCTGCATCATAGACCAGTGTAGTCTAGACCATCGAGTCAAAGAGGCTGTTTCTGGTCTCCCAACAGTCGCTTTTTCCATTTCTAAGAATTGTCATTACTTTGAAGCAGTATTTATACACAAAAACATTCAACAACAGATGGCAATAAATAAAGTTGAAATAAAATACTGTAAATAAATAAAAATAAAGAAAGGAGATGGTCCGGGATGGCGGTCATAAATAGGCTAAATATTGGTAAAACTATTCTATTAAAAGCCAATGTTTCGACCCGACTTTGCAGGTCTTCTTCAGGGCTAAAACGGACAAGATGCAAAAAATATAGAGAATTGTGGAAGTTACATAATATTAAAAAAAAAAAATTATAAACAATGTGAATAAGCTTATTAAAATTACAAACAGTAAGTACATTCAAATATAAACAGAATAAGCTAAGCAACAAGATTCTAAACTGAAGTAAATAGATTGTAATAATTGTTATAGTGTAATATATAATATATGCACATGTGAATATACTTCTACAGATCTACGGGAGAGATTGAAAAAGAAGGGAAAAGGATATAATATGAAATAATAGACATATAGGAATCTAGAGAAAGGAAAGAAAACCAAAAATAAATAAATAAGTATATAAAATAAAAATAGAGAATTACAGGTGTATTCAGCTAGGAGTTTCACTTAGAACTGGAAAATAAGGGTAAGGGGAATTTTGCTGTCCTGAATTTGCGGAATTCAAAGATATGGATGGATACAAGGGAAAAAATACTTTGCCTATGAAATAATAAATTATAAATTTATATGTATACATATAAAATAGAATTAAGAAATTATAGATAAGAGTAAATAATTATATTTAGTTGTACATATGTAAGAAAATTACATTTTAATATTAGATAATATTGAGACATGGTTAAAAAGTAAAATGAATACAAATTATTCACATTTTTAAGTATATTCACATTTGCATATATTATATATTACACTATAACAATTGTTACGATCTATTTACTTCAGTTTAGGACCTTATTACTTAGCTTACTCTGTTCATATTTTAATGTACTTACTGTTTATAATATTAATAAGCATATTCATATTGTTTATAATTTTTTTTTTAATATTATGTAACTTCCACAGTTCTCTATATTTTTTGTATCTTGTCCATTCTAGCCCTGAAGAAGACCTGCAAAGCCGGGTCGAAACGTTGGCTGTTAATAAAATAGTTTTGCCAGTCTTTAGCCTATATTTGACTGCTACCCCGGACCATCTCCTTTCTTTACAATGGAACGGTCAACTATTAAATATTCAATAAATAAAAATAACAAAACAATATACAATACGTCGACTTGTAGTTGTACTAATTGTAAGGCTTCTAGGCTAGTGACCAAGATTTTTTTCATTCTAACCAAAATTGAAAAGAGACTATTATTTTTAGCTTTACCATTGCTACACACGATGTTAAAGTTTCAAATGCTGGTGACTTCACAATCGACAAGATACATAACAATCTTCCACTGCTGCAGGCTTCTTTTGCCGTGAGTGTTCCAACTGCACACATTGCAGGAAATTACAAAATCTCTGGAACAGCTTTCCAGAAGAAAGTTCAAGGAGAAGGAACATTCGTGTGAGTAAATCAATATTATTCCATAATAAAAATAATATTACTTTAATAATAATATAAAAATTATTATTTTATATCTTATATATCAACAGATTGGATGTTACTAAACTGGTTGAAAGCGGTGAAATCCAGTTCGGAATTGTTGATCACTCACTTCAAGTAACTACTTTAAAATTGGACTACTCCATTGAAGGAATCCATGTAAGAATTTTATAAATATTATTTTTAGCAATTATATTATCATTTGCTGATACTAATAACTATCTAGGAATATCATTCCATCTGGTATGTTATACAATAATATAATGTTTTATTATTATTAGTATTTATTATAGGGAAGTGGGAATTTCAATTTCATATTAAATAAGTATTTCATCATTTTATGTTGAACACAAATGAGCTACATAAACTTAATTTTTAACAGAAAGTATTGAGTTGTGAGGAAAATAATGCAGGATTTTGTTTTCAAAAGAAAGATTTACAACTGTTTTATTTAATCTAAATAGTCTCCACTACTATCAATACATTTCTAACAACGTGTTGTCAAATTTTCCATTCCCTCGGAATAGAATTTTCCATCTTTAGAATTAATGAAATCCAAAAACGCATTTTCTAATTCTCTTTGCCTATAATTTTTTTTCATATAAGTAGTGGTCCAAGTATCTAAAAAAATTATAATCCGTAGGATGTGGCAGAGTTTTTTTTTTTTTGAGCAGGGTAGCCTATTGGTAGGGCACTAAGCTTCCAATACTTAAGGTCCCAGATCGAATCCCATGGTAGAAAAATTATTTATTCTGTATCATTGGCCGTGGAGCGACCCTAGGGTAGGAAGACCCTCCTGCGGTACACCCAACCTCTACCACATCGGTACCCTTAATTATATAAATGGTTAAGGAGGAAAACCTGGCGGTTGAGCATGATCCTGGCTGATCCCCTCCTTGCACAATCGTTGGCCTTGAAACAGTACTTTTACTTAAATACAAGTTTCATTTAGGTCAATAAAATAGTTACATACCTACTTCTAAGCACTAGCCAGTTAGTCGACTTTTCTTAATCGATTTTAGTTTACACATTTTATTCATTCATATAGCTTATTTATTACTGATTTTAATTCTTTTTAACTGAAATTATTGGGGAGGACAAAACGATATTTTTGCCCCCTCACAATTTTTATTGGGAGGCGATAGCCACACTTGTCCCACAGATGTCTGCGCCTATGGCAACACCCCTAACTATGGTTATTGAAAAAGTAACTATTTTTTAGTAGGAGTGGAGAAGAAGTTCTAATATATGAATCTAGTACCAATATTTATATTTATATTTATATTTATAAAATTGAGAACAAATAATCAGGATAAAAATGTAACTAATGAAACATTATTCGATGCTTACAGACAACCATCACCGGACTGACCGTTGAAGGTTTGACCCAAGAACAGGTCGAGGATATGCTCAACAAACAGTTCCTCACTTACCTCAACAACAACAAACCCTTCGTCACCGAGAAGGTTGGAAACCACGTCAAGGAAATTGCCAACGTCCTCACCAAAGGAAAAAGCCTCAAAGAAATCATCGACTGGCTCAAACAGTTGGTCTCCTCAACCCCAGACCCACCACCATTCACCTTTCCACCAGGATTGTAAAATATAATTTTAAGATTGTTTTAAGTGAATAAAGTCTTGTGATACTGCCAATTGTTTTGTTTTTTTCAATATGTACACTCTCTCTCTCTCTCTCTATATATATATATATATATATATATATATATATATATATATATATATATATATATATAATAACTGTAGTGTAAAACCCTTTTATCAAACGAAAAGGAATTTAATGCAGAAGTGACGAATCTTAATTTCAAGCCTTAAACTGGACACTACACAATCAGTCATGAATGGCAATCACAAGACTGACAAGGATTTCTTCAATCATGATAAACTGCACAGGTATAAATCAGAATGACATTATTTTAGCCATTTGACGTTGAGATAATAGGCATAATGGAGCATTTTCTATTAATAATAACAGGTTTCATTGAAAAAGTTTATTTGTTCATTATCTTTCTTATATGTTCATCATTCTTTATCTTTCATTATCATTATCATTATCTTTTAAAGCTATGGTTAGTTTAAGGCCCTAGTTAGTGCGTGAACATCGTTTCGACAAAAATGAAAAAAATAGAAAATAACTACTTACAAAAATTAAGGAAAAATAACAAATTTGTTGAGAGAAAAAATGAAAAAGAACAGATAAATATACATAAAATCTAAAGATTAATTTTTTCTATAAGTGAATTGTGCAGTTTTCCACATTTTTACTTTCACTTAATTATATATGAAATATATAGTAAGAGAAAGAATTGCGATCCTAAAAATTTTCGAATCTCAGTTTTCAACAAAAATACATGTTTTGAGGTCCAACTAACCAAGTCCTGAGAATGGTCTTTTATTTTAGTAAACTTTACAATGGAAAATAACAGTTTAATAACTTATAATCCTATAATTCATAATCATTTATAGGTTAAATATTCAGATGTACTTTCAGATCTCTCTAGTCATATATGAACCTTTCGGTTGACAGAATGACTAACTCCAGTTTCAACATTTTTTATTATTAATTTTAGTGATGTTTCGGGTGGCAAAATTTATACCTTTACTCACAGTTCTATATTTCAAAATTGCAATCATCTACTCTGGAATCAACTTGCTCACTGTCTGTATAGATATAACTTTTCTAACTAGAAATATCACTAAAATAACATTACTCAAAAATGTTGAAATTGGAGTTAGTCATTCTTTCAACTGAGAGTCTCAGAGACTGAAGTTATGCGGTTGATAAAACTAGATTTTTATTGCCTACTGTCGATATAATAAATAAACTTTTTGTAATTTTAATGGTCTTAATGTTTTGTTATCTGTAAGCTTTAGCTCCGTTTTAAAATGCACTTTAAAATTTTTATAATAGCCAACATTGCCAGAAAAAAATTTTTATTCAAAGTAGAGCGGTAAGTGAAAGTTGTGTGTTGACCGCAAAAGATTTTTTTTTAATACTTTCTATTCACACTGTTTATAATTTTTCATTTTAATATCATGTAGCTCCCACAATACTCTATATCCTTTTGTATTTTGTCTGTTCCAACTCTGAAAAAGACCTGCAATTTCGGGTTGAAACAATGGCTTGAAATAAATAAGTTTTTCATTATTTTTGTCATTTTATGATCTCCACCCCAGACCATCTCCTTCCTCAATATTATACTGCAGTAAACCATCAAGTATTCAATTCTATCTTTTCTTTTTCTTTTTTTTTTTTTCTTTAATATCTGCTTCTTTTTTTTTAATTACAATTACAATTATTCTCAGTGAGTTTTTATTTTATTTTTTTTTTTTGTCTACATATTCTCAGGGAAGATATTGTATATATTTTTTGAAACTTTGTTAATGTAGTTATTGGCCAGAGATAGTTTTTTTTTTATATATATAAATTAAAGCAATCGAATTTCAACACCTCTTTATTTATTCATTTAGTAGATAAAATATATTAAAATGAGCAAAATCATAATAGAAATAATGATAAATCATTTAATTAAAAAATATATATATATATATTTTTTTTTTAAATGATTTATTTATTTAATTCATACTAGACTGAAACAACAAGAAACCGCTCGACGTTTCCGATTACTTCAGCACTTACTAGAAAAACGCTCTAAACTTCCAATTAATTACAAAAGACACATATACATGACTATAATAAGGCCTATTTGGACTTACGGAGTTGAGCTATGGGGCTCCACTAAACCATTTATTTTTTAATGCTAAAAATTTCATTTATATTGAAACTCACCGTTCGTGTGAGTGTCTCCTCTTGCAGTCTTCATTTCAAACAGGGCTCAATAAATGAATAGCCTAATCCAAATAAATAATTTCTCCATTTCTTCTTCTTTTCCTTGTTAACAAAGCTGAAAAATGTTATGGCTGTTTATGCCAGCATGTTTCAACATTCCAAAGAAAAATCAGAAAGACAGCCTCTTTGTTTTTCTTGCTGTTGGGTACACATGACACATTTGATCAAAAGTTACTGTGCCGTCTTTATTTAATATGCTCCTTGCATTTTTCTTCATCTTCTAACTCCCATAAATATTTATCAATTTCTTCAGGAGAATTTTTTTTCGTTATATTTGCCATACAAAAAAAAATAGTTTAATGTATGAATTTAAAATACCACTAATTAAAATATAACATTAAAAATCCATACCTGAATTATTAAAAGATTCAAAAAAACAAAGAAAACTGTGATACGAAATTCACAGAACAGTTAAATAGACAGCACACTGGGGGGGGGAGGGGGAGAGGCTGAGAGAGATGTAAACAACAACAAACTGGCGTGTGGGATACCCCATAATGACTTTCGGTACCTCCCAATATTAATATAAGCCCAACAATGGAGCACTAATGATCGTAATTAGCCTCCCTATGTATGATGTTTATTTACATAAAAAACCTTGACCAAAGAGCTACTTATATAAAAGTAAATTAGTATTTGAAATGTTGTGGGGTGTGTCATACCCCAGTGTGTTGTTTTAAAGTTAACACACTATCCACAGGTGCCACAGATATAAAGTTTTATAGTAAGATTCGATTGAAATAAAGTTTTAGAATTATAGATGATAATAAGAATTGACTTAAATTAAATATTTTAAAGCTCTTTTGATTTTACTTATAATATTGTATATTTTTACAATATTCATACAAATTTTCTTTTAAAATCATGCTTTTATTTTCTTAATGGTGTATGTTTTAGTACCTTCAATGGCCACTAGATAGGGTAAGCAGTAGAAAGAACAACACTAACTCATAAAACATGTTTTTTTCAGTTTTTAAGTAAATTATAAAGTTAAATAAATATTAAAAGGATAAAAATCGTTTGTATAAATTATCTATGAACCTGTTCTATGTATTTATATTATGAAATTTACTGATTTAACTCAATAACTGATACCTGTTACACCAAATCACAACATAAATTCATTTCTGTTTTAAATTACTTTTATGCATTAAAGTCCTCTTAGATACTCACTCCATCAATGGTTAAAAGAATTTATTTTAAAACATCTAACAACCAACTAAATAATCCAGTGACATTCTATTTTCCCAAATTAAGACATTTATGAATTTAACAGAAAAAAAGGACTAATAATAAATAAATCTTCATTAAATTATTTTTGTAAAATCTAGATTTATCGTATATTTAAAAAAATCGAAAAAGAAACAAAGCTTAGAAGGATATTTTTTGAGATATTTTAATTAGTAAATTGTAATGCTGAAATCAGTCAAATTTCCTTGAAATTTAATGTTTTCACACAAACTATGCATCAATACTATAATTTCAGTGAAAAATAATCCCATTTTCTTTCTGTTTTCTTTATTCGTAGGCATTATTTTATTCATAACAGCCAACCTGTACTGAATTTTATAAGTATAATCCCATTCGTCTCAAATAAATCAATTTATAAACAAATTACAAATTAATTTTTTTTTAATTCATTCCATCTTAAAATACATATTTTAATTATTAATAATCAATATCAGTGAAACCAAGCAACGTACATTGGATGCACTGAAGGTATCCGATGCGGTATGGTCTCATTTTCAATCCGCCTAGAGTAAGCTATGGATTTCAAATTTCTGGGTGCTTACTTCATCGAGTATGGAGGGGTAGATGGAGACATAAAGGAAAGGACTAAGATGGCTGGCAAATGCTTTAATTCCCTCAAGACAGGCATCTTGGACAATAAGGAAGTCTTTTAAGGAAATTTAGAGGATAAAACGAGAAGCGATCACATGATGAATGTGACTATAAGAGCAAATCTGGATCTGAGGCCTGTAGAGGAAATAATCCAAAAGAACCAACTCAGGTGGTTTGGACATTTCTCGCAAATGGCTGAAAACAGAATTGCCAGGTCTACCTATTAGGTCAGAGTGGAGGGAAGGCAGCCACAGGGAAGAGCAAGAAAAAGATGGGACGAAGGAATCAAAGAAGGCTTTGACAGGAGAGGAATGGACTGGAGGAGGTGAAGACAGCTGATTGAGGGCAGAGATTCTTGGGTCAGGCTATATAAGATGGTAGGGAGTGAGGTAGCTCAGTGGTAGGGCACTGAGCTTCCAATGCAAAGGTCCCAGGTTCGAACCCCGGCTGATTACAGAAAATTTATTTATCTGTTTCATTGGCCGTGGGGCGACTCTGGGTTGAGAGTTCCCTCCTGGGGCACACCCAGCCTCTATAAAGTGGGTACCCTTAATTAAATAATTAATTAAGGGGGAAAACCTGGCGGTTGAGCGTGATCTCGGTCAAATCACCTCTTTGCACAACCGTTGACCTAGAAACAGTACTTTCCCTAAATAGTACTGAACCCCAGACCCTTCATGGGTTGTAGTGGTACAGGTTTTTTTTTTATATAAGATGTAAACTCACACTGCTCAGTGGTAACAAAGAGGACTAGATTAATTAAGTAAGTAATAATCAATGTACAAGTAAAGTACTATTACAACAATCATTAGATTAATCAGGTTTATAAATATTTTATTAGAATATAATAACTTTTATTATATTTGGATTTCTGGCATTGAACTATTGTAGTTCAATGTGCTTAAAAATTTAAAAAAGTACAATTCATTATCTTTTGTTAG